GGGGTGATATTGGGGTGATATTAGGGTGATATTGTAGAAGACATTACATGCTCAAGTCACTCTTAGGGGTCAAAAGGTTAATGTACAAGTTTGGGGCTTTCACTGACAGACAAAATTTGTCACTGTGACAGAAGAACTTTAGCAGGTGCTAGAAGTCATGAATATTTTAAGATCATCCTGAATTACATGATTGTGTTGGCCTGCTGTGTAATACTTTGCTAACTTGATATCTGCATTAATGTTACTGCAATATTTATTTCTATGTAATGGTCAACCTGGAATGACCAAAAAAAAAAAGTTTTTTTTTTCTATCTAGTCATGATATAGTGAGTCCTGTGGTGCCATTTGCTCTTCGATTGTCCTCTCATTTGATGATTGGTGTAGTGCGCATCTACAGAGAGCAGACCAAAGTTGTCTGGAGTAAGTATAGTCAGTATAATTATATGTGTTAATGTTTTATTGTTATTTTTTTATGCTTAATTTTTACAAAAATTGAGACAGTTCCTCTTTTTGAAAGGGATATATCATACTCAGGTGTTCTTGATTCAAATTAGAAATTAATCAGTGATTGAAATGGCCAGGGATAAAATTAAACATTAACGTACAATATGAAAGGGTTGTGAGGCCATTAAAACATCACCTGAGCTCAAATTTGCAACCTTAGCCTTGGCACAATCTTTCACCTGATCTTTAAGTGGTCTGTTTTTATATTTGTTTACTTCATTATTTGCATTTTTTTTGGTGTTTGAGCCCTCTGGGCCACCACATGTTACCCTTTATTAAAACAGAAGAAAGGATTCCCATGAAACAGAGGTCAACTTCAGAAGATGTTTTTTTTCCACCAGCATGAATCTTTGCTCTTGTTTTATATCATCAAAATTGTGACCTTGTGTGAGAACTATTCTCGTGTGAAAATTTAATGTCAACTAACCTTCATATATGCTGAATTTCCTCTTTTTTCAACTATTCACTTTTCCCAACCAACTGATTTTCTTTGAAAAAGCATCATGCTTATTTACCAAAGAACGAAGCTATCATACCCTGAAATATCAACTGATGGTGAAATTTCATATTTTAGTATATATATTGCTAGGTGATTCCCAAATTCTCCTTGAATGTATAATATTTGTATTCCTTATTAACTGTCAACACTTAAAACCCCACATCACCGCACAGCCACTGAATTGCCATGAACAGGATATTAAGAATGGATAAAGATACTTTTTAGAACTATACAATTTTGCGTATGATGC